GATAGATAGATAGATAGATAGATAGATAGATAGATAGATAGATAGATGAGATTAGATAGGTGAGATTAGATAGATGAAATTAGATGAGGATAGATTGAGTGATTTATAGATGATAGAATAGACAGACAGATTGAATGAACCCAGATGGGGACAATAAGCTGACTCTGTAAACCACTTAGGGCTGTAAAGCACTGTGAAGCTGTATATAAATCTAAGCGCTATTGCTATTGCTACAACCCTTCATTCACTGACCATTTGAGGTTACAATGGCATTTTAAAAAGTGATTTACGACCATGTTTCACACTGAACAGCAGTAGCGCTGTGACCGTGCTTTGTGACAGTTTTTCTGAAAACTGGTGCTGTGTAGAAAATCACATGCGTAGCTAATCATTTAATGACGCAACAACCTCAATTTGCTTTGAGTGTGACTCACTTAACGGCCATACCAAAAGGTCATAGGATTGGGTTGGCAATGTGACTAACCCGCTGTCCCCTTCGACCATGACGCGCAGGCTCTGTTAAGAGTCTTATGTCAAGGAACGCCTGTCTCCAGAGTCTGGTGGTCGCGTTGGGGATCAGCTGAAATTTCCGGATGTTTCTTAGAACTTGGATTTAGGATGTGATGCAACTTGGAACACGTAGCATAACCGCATTGCTTTTCGTTTTAGGACGCACGGAAAGAACTTCCTCTTGAACTTCAAAGAAGTTGGAAGGAAACCGCCCTCTTTCGGAGACGCATCAGTCATTGCTCAGGAGCTGCTGAATTCTGGATACGAGTTTGATGAAGGCTCCGTCATCTACAATCGGTTCAGGCAAGAATTAACCCGTCCTGAAGGCTACAAAAGGGAGATTTCCAGGGAGAAGAACTTGGTATAGATAGGTAGATAGATAGATAGATGGATAGATAGATGATAGATAGATAGATAGATAGATAGATAGATAGATAGATAGATAGATATGCGAAATACCACTTACATGTCATCACAAAATCTCTAGAACCGTAAAGCCTACAAACTTGAAATTTGGCACGTATGTTCCTCTTGGCTTCTAGGTGCTCACTAAGAAAGGATTTTTCAAAATGACCACCAGAGCTATTAGTATTTTGTATATTATTAACACGCTCTGATGCTAAGGAGTTCTACTCTCCCCCTCCCCACCTGGAAAGAAATCTCTTCCAAATGCAAAACACAAGCAGAAGAATAGGAGTTTCAGTTTTAGTTTTCACCGCACCAAGCAGCTTTAGTATAGAACGTTTGAGCTAAGCCATGCTGTCTCCTCATATAGCAAGTACTGTTTCAGTTTCCAAACAGCCCTCAACTCTCACACACTGACAGGAGGCTAGCCAGATGAATACCGATGGATGCTGGTAGGCAGAGGCAGAAAAATTTTCCCCCTTATTTTCCTCCCCCAAAATTTAAGCCTGACCATATAGTTTTGTAGCGAAGCATGGGTACCCAGTTAGCATTTGAATATTGGTAGCTCAGAGTTGAACTGAGGGAATCCTTGGTCCTCTCTGAGCTGGGTTGGTTTTTCTTGCAGACGTTTCATTACCGAACTAGGTAACGTTGTCAGTGCTTTATTAGCACTGATTTTACATAGTTTGGGCCATGAAGCATCGGCAAGAAAACAACCCAGCTCAGAGAGCACCAAGGACTCCCATGGAATTCAAACAAAAGAAACAACTAGCTGAAGGATATTATTTCCTGCAAGAACCTATTTCTGGTTCTTGCTAATCAACAGGTTCTTATATTTTTATTTTTTCAGAAACAGGTCTCTGCTGGAAAAGACAGTCTTAAAATGAATAGCGGAGCACTGGCATATTCTTTTTTTTTATGTAACACATAACATATTCTACTGTTCTGACCCAGGCTTAGCAGAAGCAAGAAACAGGCTCTTTGTCCCGAAAAAAACCCTCCTTATTTAGTTACTGTAAATTCATAGCATTCACACACAGAAAAGTCCTGGCAATAATTCTCCCAAGGGTTAATTGTAAGAACAGACCTTATCAGTCCTTGGATAGTTGTCAGGCCGAGAGCTTCCAGTCGCAAAGCTGCAAATTAAATACCTGGCAAGGAGTCTCTGTGAGGCACGAACTCCGATAAGCAAATCTTTCAAAAGAAATATGAACTAATTGTCTCCTGCAACCACCAGTCCCCTTTTGCTTCTATTTATTCCCTAGGGTGGGGCCATTCAGCATCCATGTGTGCCTTTCCTTCTGAGTTTGGCCCTGTTCCTTAATTGTTCTACTCTTCTGACAGTTCTGCGCATACGTGCATCTGGAACAGGCTCCAGCTGTTCTTCTGCCCCACTGATCTCCGACTCTGAAGGCAGCTGATAACTGTCGGACGGCCCTGACCCATCTCTGCCTCCGACACAGTACTCATCAGAGCCTTCCCCAGACTCCAGGACTGGCCCATGTTCCTCCCCAACCTCCCCACTGTCCCGAGTCTGCCACCAGCTCTGCTGGCAGCTGGAGGGCCACGAAATCTACCTGAGCCTGTAACAGACGAAGCGGTGTGGTTCAAAATAATTTTCTTTTCTTGCCCCTTTCAGATCTGTCATTTCCTACAAGACGGACGAGAAGCCAATCTATTCTCTTGAGACAGTTTCTGGGGCTGGTAAGTCCAGGAGTTGAAAAGGGCTCGTGAGGAGCCACCTCCATCCTTTCTCTCCCTTCCTCTCTCTTTCAAATGGTGCGTGAGTCCGTTTTTCGGAGAAAAAAGCCTTCAAGGAAAGACTATAAACCAGAAGTAGGAAGGCAATGTGATGATAAACAGTGTTGGTCCCTCCCTCTTACCCCCCACCCCCCTTATCCTCAGCCCACAAATGAAATAAAATCTAAAACAGGGATCTCCAACCTTAGCAACTTGAAGACTTGTGGACTTCAACGTGCTTTGAAGCTCCATCTCTGTGCCACTGCATGCTATCCCTCTGCCCATGGTATACTTTCTACACGATATACTTTTCGAGGCCACAAGGAACAAAGCTGTACCGACTGCTGTGGTCGTTTTTCCAGAAAGCATCAGCATCTACGATGACATTGATGCGGACGTCCTGAGAAACTACCAGGAGTTCGTATTGACCAACATCATCTTCTACTCCCTGAAGGAGTCTACTGCGAGTGAGCAGAGTGCTCGGATGACTGCTATGGATAACGCCAGCAAAAATGCCTGTAAGGGGAAACCTGGGGGGTTATTTATTTATTTTTATTTTTATTTATTTCGATTTGTCAAGCGCTTACCCTATAATAGGAATAAGAATAAACATAAGTATAAATGCATGCAATAGGCACGAATAATTGGGGACAGAAGGACAGGGACGGTAGGCACAGTTGTGCGCTTAGGCACACCCCCTTACAGACCTCTTAGGAATGGAGTTAGGTCAATCGTGGATAGTTTGAGGTTAAAGGAGTGGGAGGGTTAGAGGATGTAACAACAGAGTCAGGGAGTGCCTTCCAGGCATTGACCACTCTGTTGCTGAAGTTGTACTTACTCAAAGTCTGATAGCCGACTTTTATGTGTAAGGCGGGACTAGAACTCACCGTCTCCTGGTGATTGGGCCAAAGTCATCCAGTTGGCTTTCATGCCTAAGGCGGGACTAGAACTCACCGTCTCCTGGTGATTGGGCCAAAGTCACCCAGTTGGCTTTCATGCCTGATATATGAAATAATGATCTTTCCCCCTCCTCTTCTTGTTTTCTTTTTCTCCCTTTTGAAGCCGAGATGATTGACAAGCTGACCCTGCGGTTCAATCGCACTCGTCAAGCTGTCATCACCAAGGAACTGATTGAGATCATCTCTGGTGCTGCAGCTCTGTAAGTATTGCCAGACGTCTCTCTGAAGTTCTGGTCATATTTTTTTTATTTTTTTGTGGGCTGCTTGATGCTCTCTGAGCTTGGTGGGTGTTCTTGGAAATGTTTCATGACCAAACTGGGTAACATCCTCAGGGCTCTTAACACTGATGATGTGACCTAGTCAGGTCATGAAACGTCTGCAAGAAAGGTACCAGGCTCACAGGGCGCCAAGCTTTTAGACTTGTGGACTTCAACTCCCAGAATTCCTCCTCCCGTTCATGTCAGCTCAGGAATTCTGGGAGTTGAAATCCACAAGTCTTCAACTTGCCAAGTTTGAAGGCCCTTGACATAAAGGAAGTGCAAAGAGGGGTCATGACCTCATGCATGCTGCTGTTATGGTGGAATGTAGCCTGGATTCCCAGGAGGGAGGGGGTTGCGCTCCAGAGGGCAGAGAGACAGGAAAGCATAGGTAGCTTAGTCGGGTGAAGGAGGGTTAAGAAAGTTCCCTTCTAGCTAGTCCCAAAATGCAGGGCACAGGTGGTCCTCGACTTACAACCGTTCGTTTAGTGACTGTTCAAAGATTAGAGCAGCCCTGAAAAAAAAAGTGACTTATGACTGTTTTTCACACTTATGACTGTTTCCGCATCCCCATGGGACACCTGATCAAAACTGAGACACTTGGTGTTCACATTAACTTGGTGTTCACATTAATGACGGTCGCAATGTCCCAGGATCATGCGATCCCCTTTTGCCACCTTCTGGCAAGCAAAGTCAGCGGGGAAGCCCGATTCGCTTAACAGCCGTGTGGCTAATTTAAAAAACTGCAGTGATTCACTTAACGACTGCGGTGAGCAAGGCGGTAAAAGGGGGCGAAACTCACTGTCTTGCTTTATTCAAGAGTTTTAGAGTGTTAATTCAGCGCCAGAAAAATAAACACAGATGGCTGAGACTTCATTTAACTTCTTTATAAACACATAAAGTAAATTTTACAATACCAGTTGTAGATTTCTCCAACATGGAGCAAACTCAGTCAGAAACATGTTGCAAGTAGTTTCAGTAGCAACACAGGAGCTCAGAAACAGATATCAGTTTCACTTTAGTTCAGCCGGCAAGCATTATACACAGCAGAGGAGAGAAGCGGTTTCATTTTCAGTAGACAGACTCAGAGCTTAATAGAGCTGCAGAGTTTAATACAGAGCCACGCCTAAGCTACTTCTAGTTTCAGTTTCCAAACAGTCCCCATTGGCTGACTTAGTTGCAATGCCTATTCATTGGCTGACCGTTACCATGCTCTGTTCCAGGTCATGAACCTACTCTTACACGCTTAGCAACGGGAGCTCAATTGTGGTTGTAAATTGAGGACCACCTGTATTTGTTTCAATTGGGTGAGATTTCTATCAGGTCTGTAGGTGAGCAAGAGTAAACAGTTTAGAAGTAACTGTGTCTTTTGGGGGGGGGGAGGGTTTGGGCTCCATTACGGTCATAAGTCAAGGATTACCTGCATTAGGTTAATTAGATGCTGAGGATGGCCTTTTATAAAACCCACTTTCCGGGCATAAAAGCCATAATTTCAACTTGCTGTTGTTTCCTAAGACTCTGCATTCAGCAAAATTCCGCCTCCGAAGAAGGAGATTTTCTTATAACGGTGGTCGCTAATCCCTATTGATAGCCATGTGTCAGTAGCAGCAACCGCTGCCATTTCCCACAAAGCTCAGATGCTGCCTAATTTGTTTTTACCCAGCCATTCATAGAAAGTGGAAGCAGATACTTAATACTTGCCTGCCGTAATATGCTTCAGCGGGGAAGGGGAAAAGGAATCTAATGCGGCATAGAAGGGGAAACGATTGCCTTTTTAATCTGCATGTCTTATTAGCCTGCTTGAGGTTGTAATTTAATTGAAAACAGGCACGGCCCATTAACGCCTTGTGTCTTTGCACCAATTTTATCTGCCTTAATCTGCATTGCTTGATGCTTCACTGCACGTTTTGTGTGTTTGTTTTTTAAACAACTCCACAATCAGGCACTAAGGACTAATCCGAAAGTGAATTTCATCCAGAATCAACAGGTAAAAAACGATGCCGTCAGCTATATGCTAAGCAAAAAAAATAAAATAAAAAGACCGTGGAAATATCTTTTACTAGGGGTGGGAAACGTTGAACTGGCTTTTTGCTTCGGGTTGAGATGCTTGCTTGCAAGATGATTGTTGCTGTGCAAATCCCGGCTGCCAGCATAGGTTTTTTTGTTTAAAAATCAATTCTTTGCTTTTAATATATCTGCCAGATGGACATTGATGAGCCAGGGTTGTTGTTGTTTTTTTTTACCATGGATGTTGATGTATTTAAAATATTGTGAAACTATGCTTCCTGTTGGTGGATCCTGGTAGAGTATACCAAAAGCATAGACCAGCAGTAGCCTTGACGTCATCAGTTGAAACATGAGTTCTTTTCAAAAGCAGCATGACTGTCATCCAGATCGG